ATTTTGAGTAAAACTCTAGAAATTTAATTTCTCTTCTTGAGTGCAATAGCACACAATTGATCTTTCTTCACCATATTTAAACAAACGTTTTGGTCCATAAATTAGCCGAAGTTTATACATAGAAAAAAAAGTAGCCACACTTTTTAAACCGACCCTTTGAATTTCCGAAAGGAAGCCAGGCCCGTTTCCAGAATCTTCTCTTCTCCTTTCTCTGGGAAAGATGAGAAAAGAGCCTGGCAACGAATAGCCATTCTCGTCCCCAGTGTCCACTGTCTCTCTTGGCCGATGGAACCTTGCCACGAGGAAAAAGGTGACTACTGTCGAGCGAGCAAATAGCTTGATGAAAATAAAACCTCAGAAGGAAGGTAATTTTTTATTTCGGAATATGACAACGTCACACGAAAACCGGCAATATGAAAGGTGAACTCGGCAGTTTTGTCTTGGTTTGCACTAATTGTCTTATAAATAAACCGTTTCATGTATCAACGAAAATTTCCTTAGTAGGCAGAAGCTTAGACACTGCACAACGAGTAAGTGACAGATAAAAGCTTCTTGTTCAGCCTTCCCTTAACCATTCATATCGTGACATGGAATAAAAATTTTGGAGAAAATTAAGCTAACAAAGTTAACCTTCTAAATAGGAGATTTAACAATTTTAAAATAAACGGACAAAAACCGGCTCGTACTTTGTTCTTTGGAGCCCTGTTTATAACAAACAGAAAAATAATGACCGGTTGGGCTGCTTCAGAATTGTTCGTACACAAGTTTATTACAAGCTCTGCCGGCAAGCAAGCAGGTTTCTCGCATTTGCAAGGTAGTTTTCCCGGTTGTTATTGTCAATGTCAGTTAAAAGCTGTAATGGAAGGCCATCTTTCAGCGGAGAAGCTACGAAAGCAAAAATAAAACAAACCTTAAGTAGAACATCGTGTGCCTACCACAAGAGGTCCGAAACAGACCCGGAACATTGTACCAGTTTTTCGTTTTAGCACTGTTATATCCAACAGTCTATTGATATTATGATGAGAGATCCGTTTAGTACACGGTTTCAGAGGGTTTGCGCTAAATGGGAAGTTAAAAACTTGATTCCCCCTTGGTCTTGAATTAGAATTTTGTGTTGCACTAAATTTGACGTTTGATTGGAACAGAGCTTAATGGCCTCGCCAAGATATAGTAGTCAGCATCGATCAACTTCCGGGATATTCTGGTTGATATTTTTTGGCCGGCGCACCTCGACCGAAATTTTCCGCTCGTGAAAACCAAAAATAGTCTTCCGGCCTTAAGGGAGTAACTCCCTTGTATTGGTTGCTTTTCATTGACTGTTCTCACACCTGAGACGGTCACTCTTCCCCTACGTTGTCCTGCAGTATCTACGCCACATCATCCGAAACAATGTGATACCCCCCCCCCCGGCGAAAAGCGCTATTGGGTAGTAAGTAAGTAAGTCATACTTTATTTAGCCAGGGTGGTCCATTTAGCATCATGGCTGGTATCCAGAGTGCCCTGGTAATGAATATTGCAATCATAAAAATTACAAATATACATATATATATAAATTATCTAAATCGCTAAAATAATTCTAAAAAAGTCGAACTTAAGAAATTAGGAAAATTAGGCTATAGAAGCTAGGGTAGAAGTTGTTGAGCGTATCGCACGCTTAAAATACACACCACTTGTCTGTTCAGATATCAATATATTCCAATTTTAGTACATGCTCTCAAGCTCTTTTCACGGTTTCGGAAATCAGCCGGTATCGAGCGAACCCTCACAAGCACCTTTTACATTCCGACCGAAATTTCCCATACAGGCCATACTTTGGATATAGCCAATGGTTCTTTAGTCTCCTTGAGTCGAAAGAACTTGATGAAGCTTTGATACACACAGTATATAGTAGTTTATAGATGTTCGGGAATTTGTTCCACTTTGAAGTTCGGTGAGTGCCCGACAATCCAACATCACTGCATGCCGCTCGGATGAATCCGGCGAGAGGGCCAGGTATAAAAAGCTGAAAAGACGCAAATTTTGCGCTAAATGAAAAGCCAAACAGAAAGCAGAGAAGATCGCACATTTTACGAACCGAAAGCCAACCTCACGAACAAAGACCTGATTAGCGGAACTTTCTAAGAAACATAATATATTACTATCAAAGCAATAAAATCAAAGACCCGCGCGCGCTCGCGTGTAGTGGCGCGCACTTCCGTTTGTGTTCGTGGGCTTTTGGTATGTTAAGGACCAAGCTTTCGAGTGTTCCGGTGAGATACAATCTTGTAAGTTTGACTGCGTAGATGACCGATAAGAAAAAAAGTGCTGCGGGAAATAACCTAGATATCATGTGTTTTCAGTGTAAACTCGTGCCTATTGACACTCCTGATTGACACGCTCGGTGTTAATTTCAATAGCGAAAAAAGTGCAATAACGCGTGACTTTACGGCTGATCGAGTGTCCTTCCAACATTCCAAGAGCTTAGTTGCTGATAAACCATATAAATGCCTGAAGTGAAGTGGTTTACTGGAGGAGGAGAGAGTGTTTGATTTCGTGCTCGAGACTTACTGACACGCGATCGATGGACTAACATCCCATCTCTGGGGTAGAGGGTGGAAGGAATTAATTAGCACGGGCCTAATCACCTACTCCAGCACCGGTTCCAATGAGCTGCCAGGCTTGGGAGCAGACAACTAATCCCTGCTAAAATTTTGAGGAGCTTTTTGTCAATCAAATCTTTGTCAATCAAAAAGCGCACAGTATAAAATCCTTTATTCAATCGCGTTGGGTTGAAACATCTTTGTAATTTAAATAGCATTTTGTGCCTTCTGGCAAGTTCTTTAGAGTAATACTTACAAAGATCCTCCGAAAATTTACCTTTCTCACTCCTCGCTGATTTCGAATCATAAGTCAACTTTCTTTTCCTTTGTTTGATGTAATTCCGATTGTAGACCGACCGAAAAAACACCATGAATTTTGACACGACCAGTGACAAAATTGCTTTTTACCCGCACCATGCTATTTACGTGGAATTGTGAACATTCAATCAACCGATTTACTTTACTTGTTGTGTTTGATTGATAAACCCATTAACCCATAACAAATGTCACGTTTTTGGTTTCACTGAGAAAAGCGTGAAAACACGCGAGGCATTTTATCAGCACAGCCTTCCTTTTATATCCCACAATGCATCACATCTTACGAGTTGACGTCATCACGGGAACGGTTTGCATATTTCGTTGAAAGCTTCGAGACATAAACTGAGTTTTGGCTCGATTGAGCCAGTTTTCTTGTTCCTTGTGTCGTAGATTGCTAGAAGGTAAAATTTTTTTGTACTTCGGGGTGAACACTTCTTGCCGTCCTTATGCGACAGCCGGGAATGAGTATTTCTACGGGCGATAAGGAATTGGAATTCGCCGACCCGAAAGAAGAGGCGACATACTGGAAACAAGTAGCCGAGGATTTAGAACGAAAGTGAGTATTTCAGGGTTACATTCTTCGATGACAGTCATACGATTTTAAAGGGGAAGTGATGAAGGTCTAATTTGATCATTTCTTTTGGGAAAAAGGTTGCAAGAAGCAAGGGATGAACTCGACGAGTTTCAAGAAGGTAGTCGTGAACTGGAAGCAGAATTGGAAACGCAGTTAGAGCAAGCCGAAGCCAGACAGCGGGAACTTTTAGCGGCAAAAACACGGCTAGAAACGGAGAATGAAAGCTTAAAGGTAACTCGAAAATATTAGCTTTAATGGCGTAAGTCTCGTTCCGCCAATTCATCTGTTGTTTAAATGAAAGTTTGTAAATAATGCAAGACTTGCTTCGTGGACGCCATCTTGCCTGTTGATCGAGTCGATGGTTTGGTAGATCTGTTTTAACTGTTCTGTTTTCTCTCGTTTACACAGGCGAGACTAGATGCGAGTCAGAATGAATCCTATCTTACAATATCGTCTCTTCAAGATGAAGTTGCTCAGCTAAAAGCTGTTCGAGAAGAAGTCCAAAAATATGTTCGGGAACTCGAACAAGCAAATGACGATCTCGAGCGAGCGAAAAGGTTTGTGGCAAGATTGAAGTCTGTTGTTCGGTTATTTTTGCAGCTGAAAAGTATAGCTAACAACAACATTTACACCTCAGTTTGGATCATTTCGCCATTTCTTGTTATGTCCTTATATTATTTTTTTGCGTTGTTAATTGCATTTGATGTTGCACCGGTCACCTCTTACGTGAAATGTCCCAATGTGGCTCCACCGAGGGTTGCAATATTCATGTTATTACACTTTCATTTGTACTCTTTGTAGCTAGCCACATAAAGTATGTCTTTTTTCCTCGGCAAGGTGTTAGTAATGGTCAATGACCTGCCAGTGAGGGTAATTTACTGCAAATATCGGGTAAATTTGTGTTTACGAAAAGTACATTTCTGGCATGTGACAATCTCGCGCGAGGGTCGTGCTTTATTCCGGAGGAAATAATCCCCGTATCAATTTCTGTTGCTATGCACTAAGTTCACATAAATTGGATTTAAGTTTTCTCGACTTATTTAAGAAATTTAAGCATAGCTGACGCCAATTACTCCCCCGAAACAAATTTTTTGCTCTTTTATTACGACAAAGTGGATCGCTCAATAATAGCGTGAAACTGCTTTACATGAATTTCGAGGATTAATATTATGTTCGTTTGACCTGATTGTATTACAAGGGATGTGGGATACATGTTCATTCGTCTATAAGCTATTTTTAATATTATTTCCTGTGCCTCTTTCGGAGTGTTTTCATGTTGGACTTTCCGCAATAAAGTGCTAAGGTATCTAACCTTGATAAATTTAGCGAGAATTTTTACAAGTCTGTTTTTAGTAGCAAGTGTGGGAACTTTAATTGAAAAACTCGGCGGGATAAAAGCAGTGTTTACTTGTCATTGTTTTCTTTTTGTCTTTGAAAAAAAGTGCAGTTTGTTTCTAGGAAAATAGAATTACAGAACCATGGAGGCTATTGTAATCTGTAATTGATGAAGTGAGATAATGGAAAGACAACATTGTTTGTGGAAAGTGCTACAATACTAAAGATTGATTCCTAATTTTGGCTTTATTTTTATTGGAAAAGGTCTACATGTTTAATTATTTTAGAGTTTCTGAAGCTTTTTCATGATTCTCACTAGTGAACGATTTTGATTTAGTTGCATGATCACTTTGGGCTAAAAAAAAATATGGACTGTGAATGCTGAGGATTCTTTGAGCAGCTGACTTTCGGTCAGCTGCACCGTCAGAAGTGTATTTACCACATTTACTTTGTTGATTATTATATTCAAAGCTTTTGAAGGTTACAAGGATGGTTACTATGTTGTTGATCATTGATGTACGATGCCAGTAACACTAATATGCAATATTGTACCCTTTTCATTTTAGGGCAACAGTATGCTCTTTAGAAGATTTTGAGCAGAAGTTGAATCAGGTAATTAAAGCTATATTATGTAATTTCATCTAGATGCGAGACTGTGCCAAAAAATATACAAAGACATTACTGGTATTGCACAAAAGTGTTGCACAAGTTTTTTTTGAGTCCAACCTTGTATTTTTGAAAAGTTTTAGATCACTTTTGGCAACCATCTATTTGGCTACCAGTTCAGTGATTCCTAAGCAACACTGTCATCTGCTTGCAGTTACACTTTTTCACATGAAGTACATGTAAGCAGAAAGACAAGGACGTTTTCAGTTTCTCATTATGGATGAGACATTTTTGAGAGACGGATGTGAATCAGAAGTAGAATTTTCTCTTCTGTGGTGTGTGTTCTCGAAATTTCATTTAAAACGTTAAATTGTAAATGCTAAAATGAGAGCTTTTCAACCCATGCCATGCCGTGCCATGAAAATGAGACAGAGGGAAGATATTAACTTCTGGTTGACATCCATGGCTCAAAGAAGTCTGTGTTAGACTCTCTATAGTTTTGTTTTCATGTGCCAGATCACATTTGTCTTTGTGCTCGCCTCACGTGGGCACGTGTACTGGGACATGATCAAGCTTTGTGTACTGGGAGGAATGAGCTACAGTGGCCTTATATGGCCATGTTGCACTGACTTACCCATTAACAACTGTTGTTTTTTTTTAATTCTACTCAACAACTGTTGTTTTTTTAAAATTCTACTCATGCTTCAGATCCTTTATGATTTAACAGTTGTACCTTGAATGTTGCTATCTCATTTTTTGTCTTTAGTTCTTTAATAGTTCTGGAATTTTTACATTTTATGTTATGTTTTGATTTATACTAAAGAAGGGATTATGTGCACATATTTTCTGAAATATTTCCTCTTAAATAAGGGTGATCAAAACTTGGCTTATATTACCCTGAATAAGTGGTAACCAAACATTCTGTTCGTATTTTTTAGGCTATAGAAAGAAATGCTATTCTTGAAAATGAATTAGATGAAAAGGAAACACTCCAAGAATCGGTACAAAGACTAAAAGATGAAGCGAGGGGTAAGACAATAATAGTTTATTAAATACTCCAGCTTTAGTTAATCATTGTTGTCATGCAAAGCCATTTTGCAATCATTTTTGGACTTTCAAGCTTTAGTGCAAAGCTCAGGTGGACCTCAAGACATGTTATGTCAACGTTTGTTGGCTATAAATGCAAACATTACTTTTCTCATGTGAAAAGCCCAGTTTTGGAAAGCTATTTAACCGCGCGGCCATGGGCCGAGCGCGGTTCTAGGTTTACCCGTGGTTTATTTTTTTTTTTTTTGTCGGTGACCAGACGTAGACCTCCGCTCGGCCAAACTTTGAGTCACGCAACGTGTGATGTTTTTCCGCCAGAAGCTGTTAAAACATAAATACACGGACAATTTTACGGATATTGT